AACAAAAAACATATTAAATACGGTAAGAAATTTTTGGAATTCTAAAAAATTGAACCCTAAATTGCAAAGAAAAATCCCAATGATGAACAAAAAACCTATTAAATATGGTATATGTCTGATATACGTCTGATATACTATTGATATGATATTCTAATATACCTGATCGTGAGTTTCTATGTAATATATTTCCAATATACTATTGATATGATATTCCGGTATATTTGGATATGTATGTGATATACTACTGATATGAGTGTTTGATATATTTGAAATATAAATGTATGATATACATTTGATATACTAATGATATGAGTATCTGATATATATCTGATATGCTGCTGATTTATCTTTTATCTACTTTGTTGATATACCTATGACATATTTTGATATATTATATTTTACTTTAATAGGATAATCAAATATGGTATTCTARGGTTAAAGTACAACAATACTCTAAATTAGAAACAAYKAACAACATCTTGAAAATRCTTTCACCAATCAACAAATAACATAGAATAAATAGYAATGATAAAATATATCAATTAATATAAGYAGYCRATATRCCATGTATTGAGTATATCAATTATAGATATAYTTAATATAAAATATATMATTGTGATATACCTCACTGATAACAAACCCTAATRAATCCTTTTTAAAAAAKGATTAACATAAAAAGATKAAGGTTTAATAAAMYYYTWMYTTTTWWTTTTTTTWAATTYTAAGAAMAAATTATCTTTTAAAATAATTTCTAAAACAAAAAGGTTTATCTTTGAGAAAATAAAAGAAAACAACTAAATAAAAATAATAATTTAAATATATATATTCGGTCGTTACATGATTTCTAGTAATTTCAAAAATCACCATTGACGTTCACATTCACGTTCCTATCAAGTTTTTTTTTTCTCATTTTCAGTAAGTATCAAATTTTTTCTCATTTTCTATGTCTGCCAATACCTACTGATTTCTAATTGATCAAAAAAATACAAAGGGTTAAAGCAGGTAAAATAATGATTTACTAATATACAACTGATATAGAACTGATTGACTTCTGATATACTAATGTTGTCAGATATACTCCTGATATATATGTGATATATGTTTGATATATAATAACGAAGCGATAACTGAAAAGGGTAATTTGGGAATACTGAAAATTTTAAAATCAAGATTTTCAAAAAAAATGTTATATCTGAAAATATCAAAAAGACATGCTATTTTGTTAAATATAGAAAACTTATATGCTGCCGATTACAAATCTCCATATATCAACTTCTTGTTAACAAATTTTAATAATTTTTTTTTACAAAATCACCTATGGAGTATTTTTAACACATCTAGAATTTTAAAAGATGGAGAACTAAATTAAGAATTATCTAAAAGATTGAAGGGCTTTGATATATTTAACCATAGAAAAGCAATAAAACATGAGGAAATTACACGTCATCCACCACAGGTCAACCTATCCAATCTAGAACGAGATCTACTAACAATAAATTTCAATTAAACTCTTAAATTCCATGTGAACTTTGAAATTGATTATAAACCGACATGAATAACTCAACTAACTTTTAAAAATAAAATAACGGCTGACATAAATTTATTTAAAGAAAAATCACTTAAAGATCGTCAAATTAAATTTTATCCTCAAATTTGGATAAAACTCATCTCTTTTTTATTTATTTATTTTATTATTATTATTATTATTATTATTATTATTATTATTTTTTTAGAAAGGATGATAAAACTCATCTTAAGACGAATGTTCACTTCAAAATATTTGATCTAAAAAACTTTAACCAATTCCAAGTTACATCCAAGTACGCTTCACCGCACACTACTCAAAGTCCATTTCATTAATCAATTAAACCACAAGAATAATAGAAGCACACTAATTATTTTAAAATTGAAATATTTCTGATGTAGTCCAACAGTACTGCACCATATATATTAAAAGAGTGTTAGCCAATCTATTTACCAAAAAGAAATTATGTGTCACTACTATATACACATGCAAAGTTATACGCAATTTATTCAAGACTGGCAAATCTAGATCCTAATATGTTCGTTGGGTAGAAAAAATAAAAGAAAAATAATGAGCTAAGTGAATAGTAAGCGGCCATACGAAAACAATTTCAGAAATTTTTAAACTAAGTCCTTTAAAAGAACTTTATAAAAAAAGTATAAAAAAAAAAACTTTAGGAATACATTTGCAAGTAAGTGATTGAAGAGGCTTAAAACCCAAGACATCTTTCAAAATATCTATAATCGCCACTTATCTTAAGAATTAATTATGATGTATTTCAGCACTAAATGGGATAGAGTCAAGCTATTGCTCTACACAAGCTGGCCCAACATATAGAAAAGAAAAAAAAAAGACATTCCAAAACATAATCATAGGGCTAGAAAAACTATAACTAAATATATACTCGAAACTAGTTAGTCACGAGTATTTCCACATGATATTGTCTTCTTTTAACATAACCCTCGCGACTTTGTTTTTTGTTTCATTGACATAATTACTCTTCCTTATATACCATACATCACTCTCTTTACTAAACAATGTAGGTTACAAACTCAATTAGAGATTCCCGACGTGTATTGCACAACTATGCATAGGCTAGACCCCACTACATAGAAGAGCCAACCTAGTCACTATGCATAAGATAGATCCCAATAAATAGCTATATTTGCAATTATGGTAAATATTTTTGCTACCACTTACAAATATCCTATTGATTAGATCATGCCAAAATTGCCAAACTATGATGAATGCATTATTTTTATTTTATTATGGAAGTTTTAAGCACAGGAAAAAAAAATTCTCCTAATTAACAAAGGATATGTGTCTCATATTTACAAAGGTGATTTAAGAAAAATTTTCTACATTTGTCAAAATAGTTAATTTCACCTAGCCTAAAGTATGAACACAGAAGCTTTATATATTATTGTGCGTGAGAACAAATTTCATCTCTTTACTCTCTTTTTGCTATTTTTTTTTTCTCTCTTATATTGCTGTCATTTCGTTTCTTTCATTTACTCTCTTTTTGAATGCTCTCACTTTGATGGGTCAAATTCCCTTTTCATGCCTCACGAAATCGTTGACTGCACGTTGGATTTAATAATATTTTGTGGCTACCATGAATACTAGAGATATAAAAGCAATATAAAAAAATCTCTTTTATCACTTTATATGCCACTTGTGGCCACGTACTTAAAAGTTTTAAATCGTGTTCCTAGACAGTGGTACGTTTGAGTCCTGTCATTTGTCCCATGAGAATAAACACAAGTCAACTCAAATAATCTCTATATTTAAAAGAAAATATAGTCTTTTAAAAGTTTGACAATGAAAACTCGCAAATATGGAATAAATTCTTGAAAATATGAAAACACTTTAGTATTATGGCTCAGGTTTGTATGGTAAAATAATAATAATGTCATATTTTAAAATAATTAATAATTATGGGTGGCACAAAATCTAGTAAAAAACAAGCGAGCGAGGGTCCAAGAGAAGTCAAAATAATTTTGAAATTCATTCATTTATATATTATGGTTCTTTAATGAGGAGTTTCACTATAAGTTAAAACCTACTAATTCTATTTTTGTTTATTTTATTTTCCAAAATAATATTCGAATCACTTTTATAAATTTAAAAATTATTCCATTTTGTAGACAGTAATATATTCGAAGAACATGGATCAACAACAATCAGTCTTGATATTTATTGGAATTAAATTAGAAACTTCACTTGAATTTGTAGACTGTGAGAATTTTAGTATGTGATGAGTATTATTTTTGTGTGAGATAGAAACCATAGAAAGCAAGAGAGAAGAGAGAAGAAAAAACTTTAAAATGATGCAAAGGGGAGAAGAAAAAAAATATTGAAATAAAAAAGAAGAGGTAAAATAAGAACAATATTTTTCCTTTGATTGAGCATTCTAGTAAGAAATTTTTGGTATCCACCGCTAATTTTTTGAGATGTAAAACATGTGAATGTAGAGAATGAGAGAAAGAGACCAGGAGAGTTTTATTTTTTTAAAAAAAAAAATAAATACCTGTCAAAAAATAAATGAAGAGAAATGTAGCCGAGAGAGGGAGGAAGAGAAAAAGGGGGAAAAAAGTTAAAAAGAAAAGAGGGAACAAAGGAAAAAAGAAAAAGAAAAAAGTGAGAAAAGGGAAGAAAAAGAGGCTTTTGGGTTGGATTGGGAGCTGGGACCGTCGGACTCTATAAATATTGACAAAAATCAATAACATGATATTTAATTTGATTTAAGTTTCCAATATCTTAATTTCAAAATGGAAACTTCAATATATTTTCCAAGTTCAATTATTAATTTCGAGATATTTTGATGGTATATGAAGTTTCTGACAATTCCACCACTAACCCAACTTCTGTGTACTGGAGGAGTACATCTCTTGAATGCTGAGGTACGTACACAATTTATAATTTATATCCACTCCATTTCATACATTACAGAAATTCTKATGCTGTCATAATGCCRTATTATTCATTTGGYATTTAGATGTTGATAAAAAAATAGTCGGAAATCCATCMAGAACAAGAGCTATATGGTTCGGTAGGTTTTGTGAAAGACCTGCTCAATTTCAATTCGAGCGAGAGCGGACATAAATCATTGATTCATATCATATGTTATTCAATGAATATATTCTTAGTACTCGTATATTGATGTATATATTTTATATTTCACATCATATCATAAATTTAATATGTATACATTTTAGAAAATGTAACAAATTTTCAAAATTTTGAAATATGRCACATATTTAATTTTTTTTTAATTTTATTTTATGTGATTTACCTTACAAATTGATTTTGGCTTGAATTATACTATTTTGATAAATTTTAAACTATTTACTACATTTAAAATATATTTATATTTATTTATTTGTTTTATGCTAATATATCTTTTTACGCCATTTATTAAGTAATTGTATCTCTTTATATTCTCGTATTCATGTTTTAGGGTAAACAATATTATATTCATTTCTAGAATTTATTTATTTTATTAGAAATTAATATTATATTGATAATTGATATATAAACTTTGTGTTCAACTTTCTAATAAAAATTAAATATTAGAAATAATATTTATTATTATTTTTTTAATAACCATTATATTTTATAATCTCTAGCACTGATATCTTTTTACTTTTTACCCGAAATTGATATTATATTGAAATATAAACTTTGTGTGGTACATAGTATTGTATTGTCGAACTCACAATCTCTTGATTGGAGGTATTCGTCAATTACCGATGAACTATGCTCGCTTTGGCGTATTATATTTGTTATTAAAAACAATAAAAATAACCAAAAGTTTATTTATTTATTTTATCTTTTTGGTGACCAGAGGTTCAGCAAATAAATTGAGAATTAAGAATTGGCTAATTCTTAATAATTGATTAAATTTAAGTTTGACCACTAAACATTTTGTAAGGAAAAAATCTAATAAATTTTTTGACATTGATTTGTCTAATTTAATCTTTTTAACTTAAAAAAAAGAGCAATTATGCCTTTTAAGGACATATTCGGGCGATGTTATCCTTTCTTATTTCTCATCTATAATTTTATTATTAAATCTAAGCATTTAACAATTATTTATGTTTCATGTTTTTCATTCTTTTAAAAACATTTTTAAAATTGTATAGAAATTTGGGAAAAAACAAAAATAACTTTCTTGTCTCTTATTTTCTTTTTAAATTTGTTCCAAAATATAAATAAAAATATTATTTTATAATTCTTGAATCCCGGATGTTGTTGAGGGTATTGAATTCTATTTTTCTTTATTTAAAAAAACAATAAACTAGAAATTTACCAAATGAGACTTAAACTCTTAACTTTTGATTGGCTAACTTTGTCAAATTAATGCTTACACGCTACCAAAATGTTTAAACTTGTCCTAAATAAGCCAACAAATTTATCATTAAATAATTAATTCCACATCTCACGTCAATTAAAAATCGACAAAATTAACTACATAGATCTATTATACATGTTGGAGGCACATTTCCACATGCCACGTGTCAACAACGTAAAGGTACTTGGATTAAAATCCGTTTAGATTATAGTAATCCATTTGAGTCCTTTTCGGTCGGAAACCGAGGCACGAGTCGAGCTGTCCATTCTTTGTCTTTGACCTGTTTAAATGGTATGAACCGACAATGGGAATGTCTCTAAAATCCGACAGCACGTCGCATTTTACGGACGGTCGAACGACCGTTAGTCCCATGTCGGGACTCCTGTCGGATCCAAAATCTATAAATAGAGATGTCTGCTTCTAGTACAAGGTACGCGAATCCAATTGCATTCATTGAGTTAGATCGGATAAGAGCTAACTTGCTCGTCGGAGTGCTAACAGGTTCGACTAAGAAGATCATCCGGTGTGCTCCAACCTAACTGGATCCCGAGCTTGATCTCTTTGGAACACAAAATTGAAAAGAGTAGCATGACATAATCTTAAAAATGAAGGATTTATTATAACAGTTTTATATATTAAACCATTAAGAAATTTAGCTACGAAGGTTATAATTTAATCATAAAATCAAAACAGGGATCGAGAAAAGAAAAAGTGTGTGTAAACTTTAATGGATCCAATCCAATCATAAATCAAAACAGGGATTACAACCTGCTGCATCCAATCCAATCGCCTTATGGTTCACTGAATTTGTTTCTCAAGGAAAAAGATTATTAAACAGAGAGCACCAACGATTATCTCAAAATAAGGCTCTGTTTTACACTCTAATTTCCTCACAGTTGAGCAGAATCAGTAGTTAGCGACAGCCATGAGACTTCAAACGGATTGGAGATTTTCACTTCGTTTTCTTCTTCTTCTTCTTTCATTTTGCTACGGCAGATCAGATACCATCACATCAACAAATTTCATCAAAGACCCTGCAACTATAGCTTCCAATGGCAGTACCTTCAAGTTGGGATTTTTCTCACCTTTAAATTCTACCCGCCGATATGTCGGAATTTGGCTCAACAACATTTCCGTACAAACTATAGTATGGGTAGCCAACAGAGACAGCCCTCTGAACGACACTTCTGGGATCTTCACAATCTCAAAGGATGGGAATCTTGTGGTGTTGGATGGAAACGACACCGTCCTCTGGTCTTCAAATGTTTCTTCTCCTTTAGTGAACACAAGCGCCCAAATTTTAGATACCGGTAACCTCATTTTGCAAGATGCTGTTTCCGGGTTTGTTATATGGGAGAGTTTCCAACACCCTTCTAATGTATTCCTGTATTCCATGAAACTTATCACAAACAAAGACATGAACTCCAAAGACAAGGTTCAGCTTACCTCTTGGAAAAACCCTTCAGATCCATCTACAGGAAACTTTTTGTTTGGGCTGGATGTTCAATATCTTCCAGAATTGGTGATTTGGAATGGCCGTAATCCTTATTGGCGGTCTGGTCCATGGAACGGTAATACTTTTATCGGAAGACCCGAAATGACTGATATTTATCTCTCAGGATATAATCTTGTAATCGGAGACAACACCTACACTCTCTCTACTCCTTATCGTAGTGTTGATATGCAAGAATATGAATTTTTATCTTTGAGCTCACAAGGGAATTGGGAGCAGAAGTACTGGGATGCTAAGGAGGCGCAGTTGAAGAATTATTGGTCGGCTCTAGGAACGCAGTGTGATTTTTATGGTGCTTGTGGGACGGCTGGGATTTGTGATGTGAAAGCGTCCCCTGTTTGCAGCTGTATAAAAGGGTTTAAGCCAAAGCATGAAGAGGAATGGAATAAAGGAAATTGGAGCAGGGGATGTGTGAGAAAGACGCCATTGAATTGTACTCACAACTCCAACAACGCCACCGCTGAGGCTGCAGATGGGTTTTTTAAATTGGAAACGATTAAACTGCCATTTCTTGAACAGTGGTCCAATGCCTCTTACTATGAAGACGAATGCAGACAAGAGTGCTTCACCAATTGTTCTTGTACTGCTTATGCATTTGAAAAAGGTATTGGTTGTATGCTATGGAGAAGGGATGATTTAATTGATATACAAAAGTTTGAGAGTGGTGGAGCTGATCTTTATCTTCGAATGGCGTATGCAGACTTGGATCATACTACAAGTATATATTCTCCATATAAATTTATACTGCAATTTTTCTCATCATTGAAATTATTTGTATACATGTTGTCTTCTAACATTATTTTCATCAACACACATCAGATCAGGTAAAAGACAAGAAACGAATTATTATAGCCATAGTGCTACCAGGAACGTTTATCATCTTCATTACCATTGCCATATACTTTTGGTGGAGATTGAAGACTCACAAACATGGTAATTAAACGTACAGTACTTGATTATTTCATTTCCTTACCATTTTTACTAGTGGATAAAATAGTCATATGAAAGTAAAATTTGAGGTTTATAAAACAGAGAAGAAGACAAGTATCAAATCCAGCAAAAAGGGAAAGATTTTGAAATGCACAAGGGATGATGATACGATTGGGGATGAAATTGAACTCGAAGAGTTGCCTCTTTATGATTTTGAAGAGCTGGCAATTGCAACAAACAACTTTGATTTAAGTAACCAGCTTGGGCAGGGTGGCTTTGGTCCAGTATATAAGGTAAAGTAATACTTCTGTAGATCCTTTTTTCTCTCTCTCTCTCTTTTGATTAACTGGGAGCACGGATAGTTGAAGAAATCATGTTTCTTTTTTTCAGGGAAAATTATTAAATGGACAGGAAATAGCAATAAAGAGACTTTCAAGAACATCTAACCAAGGGTACGAAGAATTTATAACTGAAGTGAAAGTGATTTCAAAATTACAACATAGGAATCTTGTGCAGCTTCTCGGTTGTTGCATTGAAGGAGAAGAGAAGATGTTAATATATGAGTATATGGCCAATGGAAGTTTGGATGCGATGATATTTGGTTAGATTTTGCACTAAACTTTACTAGATATGATTTTAGTTGAGGAAAAACTTGGTTCTACAGTGTGAAGGTCCAAGATACACATTGCTCTGCAACCAAGTCTTTTCCTTTTAGCTGCTTTTGAATATTCATTTCATTAACCAGTACTATTAAAATATATGCATTTTGTAGACTCCTCCAAACAAAGCATTTTGGATTGGAAGAAGAGATTTAATATAATAGATGGAATTGCTCGAGGTCTTCTTTATCTTCACAGAGATTCGAGACTGAAAATCATTCATAGAGATCTCAAAGCAAGTAATATCTTGTTAGACAAAAATTTGAATCCTAAAATTTCAGATTTTGGCACGGCAAGAATTTTTGGTGGCGATGAAGTTGAAGCAAACACTATAAGAGTTGTTGGAACTTAGTAAGTATACCCTTCACCATTTTATATCATTTGATTCTAATTAGGTTATTGACTAACAAGTTCTTGTTTTATTTTATTATTATTTTTTTTTATCAATTTAGTGGATATATGTCTCCTGAATACGCATTGGAAGGTCAATTTTCAGAAAAATCAGATGTGTTTAGTTTTGGAGTTTTGCTACTTGAAATTATTTGTGGGAGAAGAAATACAAAGTTCCACGAGCATGAACATGGGACAAGCTTGGTTGGATATGTATGTCTATGAAAAAACAATTTCAAATTCCTGATAATTATAACCTTCAAATCTCAAACGATAACTTCCACAACTTTTTAAACTTGGTTTCAGGCATGGAAGTTGTGGGTGGAAAACAATCTGATTCCTTTGATTGAACCAACCATACATGAATTGTGCTTCCAACCAGAGATTTTGCGCTGCATTCATGTGGGGCTCTTATGCATTCAAGAATTTGTAGATGATAGACCACATGTGTCTACCATTATTTCAATGCTCAACAGTGAAATTATAGATCTTCCCTCTCCAAAACGACCTGGATTTGTTGGCAAATCACACAAAAGTGACATGGAGTCATCTGAACAAAATCTAGATAAATATTCTACCAATAGTGTTACATATTCTGTAAATAGTGGTACACCTACTGCAATTACACCTCGATAGTGTGTAATTTCTCTAAGTTGGTATAATGGCGTGCACTTGCGACTTTAAGTCCATGTGGATTTTACTTTTCTTTTTTTTTTTCGTCCGATTTCAACCTCCGAATAAGTATATATCTTTATTGTTGAGTTATGTTTATGTTGATGTCATTCCAATATATTTGTAGATAGACTTTATACCCCTCTTCTAATCATCAACTCTGAATTTCTTCAAGGGTTTGGCTCAGTTTTTAACTTTTTCTTTATTTCAGACTTGTGGCTTTATGATTTTCTAGAGGGTCACTTTTGTGGACAATTTTTTCTACAAAACACGTACAAAATTAATGTTAAAACTATGCATATGTTAACCGCAGGAAGTGATTTCTCATATGTGTTTATTGAAAATCCTAAATAATTAAATCAACCTATATACAATTACTTAATTAGACAAGTTGAATCACTACAGTAGAATTAATTTACTAAAATATATACACATTGTACAAAAGGGGTTGTAAACTTTTAAAAAACAGCGTGTTATGTTATTTCCGATGCTTTTATATTCCTCATTCTTTTGTTGAGTACTAGTCCACGACTCTTTGACTTTTATATCTCTCTATATTTAAAGGTATATGTATTGTTCCCATATCCACTTATTAAAGACAATAGTACCCCTCATATATCTCCACGATGGTATGATAGTGTTCGTTTTGGACACGTTCTCACGACTTTACTTTTAGTTTCACCAAAAATATTTCATACTAATAGAGATGGTCATATCTTATATACCATAGATCATCCTTTTTTCTAGCTAATGTGAGATTTTGCTTACGTATCTTGCAATCCCAAAAAAACAAAGGTTTAATTATTATTTGTGAGAAGAAGTGTCATCCTCGCATTCTTCTTCTACTTTTTTTTTTTCCTGCTGCTAATTTCTATTTTTCTTTCTTTATCTTTGCACTTTTCTTTATTTCATATCATTCTTTATTTCACTGCTCTTAGCATGAGTGGAATTCCTTTTTTATATCTTGCATGATCATTTTTAGTATGCCTCAAATTTAAGTAGATTTGATGAGCTGTCATGAATATTGAGATTAACAATAAACTTAAAAGATAATCTCTTACCTCTTCAAATCTCTCACGATGGCAATTTAAGATTTTAAGTAATCCTAGTATTTCTTAACAACCATCCGTTATCTCAGGAGAATATTTGGCAGTTAATCTACCATAGCATATGAGCTTGATATTTTCAAATAGTTGACAATGAAAGCTTTCTCAACAAAATTTAAATAATTAATATACCAATAGTGTTACATTTTCTATATATACTCTGCACCTGGATAGTGTGTAATTTTCTCTAAGTTGGTATAATATCGTGCACTTGTGACTTTTAAGTCTATGTGGATTTTTTATTTTTTATTTTAAATTAATGTGAAACTTGGGTGTCCTTCCAGCATTTTTTTTCYTGGGGTACAACTGGAATTTGAACCTTCAACTTGAAGATAATGAATATATGTTTTTACTATTGAGTTATATGTCTATGTTGGCGTGATTCCAATACATATCCATATAAAGTTATATCTGTCTTGACATAAAATTAAATTAATTATAATCATCAACTATGATATATACTTTATATGATAAATTTTGATAACTAAATATCTAATCACCTTTCTTCTGACACACTTCTTAACTCTTTTCTCTATTTACTCTCGTTCGATTGCTTTTCTAGAGGGTCACTTTTGTGGACAAATTTTTTTACAGAAGACGTATAAAATTGATGTTAAAGCTATGCGAATCRTCTTAATCATAGTGATTTCTCATATGTATTTATTAAAAATTCTAAATGAACCAGCCTATTACAATTAGACAAATTGAATCAATACTGTATAATTAAATTTACAAAATATGTTACTAAAGGGGTTGTATACTTTTAAAAAACTATCGACTATTATGTTATTACCAATGGTCTTATATTCGTCATTCTTTGGTTGAATACAATAAAAGTATTAATCATCGTATAAATGTCAATTTTTACCTATTCTTTCGTAAAGTCATATATTAAATTCATTTCCTTGGCTTTTTTTATTATTAAAAATGGATCAAACATATAGTTTTTTTTGGTTGGAGTATAACACATGGGTTGGGATCCAATTCACAATATATTGATTGGAGATATATGTCAATTACCACTGAGCTGATCGCTTTAGCAATTGATCAACATAGTTCATTCATAATGGTCATATACGTTAAAAGTAGATCGTTGATGAAATATCTTTGGATGTAATTGTCTTTTTTGGTTTCAAGATTCTGGAAGTACGTTGAGAGATATCCATATATGAATTAAATTTACCCAATCCATCAACTAAATTTTGGATCGAGTGGTAGTTTATTCATCTCTACCGTCATTATATCAGAGCAGTGTTCGAACCCTGCATTATTATTTCCTCCCTATTTAATATTAATTTTCTTTAATTTTAGAAAATAAGTAAATAGAAGGTAAATTCTCTTAGATATGTACCTAAATGTCAATATAGATAGAATGGTCTAGGTCTCAAATTTATAGAAAGTATCGAAACTTTTAATATTTTATAATAAAACCATATCAACTCATTAAAAAAGGTAGTATAATTTTTCATTAGAAATAAAGATTATTATTAATATAAATTAAAAAATTGTAAAATTGTAAAACAATTCATAATAATATCATAGAATATAGACCATAAATAATAATGAGATTGATGAAAGTTTTTAGAGGCCGTAATATGAGATTTTTCTTTTTAGGAGAGTGATTCTCAAATTTGAGATGGTCCATTGATTGTATTCTATTTTTCTTTTCCTTTTTCTTTTTAACTCCATCAACCATAGTAAATGGAGCATGAAACTTTTGGTAGATGCTTGAAATTATATTATATATGCAATGACTAAGTTTAAATGCTCATGGTTGTGCACATGACATTGACAGCTTTTTTTTGTTTTTTTTCTTTTCGTTTTCCAACTAAATATGCATGCTAATGTCAGTAATCACCTTGATTAACAGCTTTTTTTTCTTTTTCTTTTTCTTTTTCCAACTAAATATACTTGCTAATTAGTAATCACCTTGATTAAAAGACAAATTACTGCATAAACTCAAGTTTTTAGGTGTGTGATTTATATGTTAATGTCTACCCTATGTAAATGATAAAGTATTGATTTGAGGATGATAATGAATGCCCTTTTTATCTTGGATAAAAATTTTAAGAATTGTTAAAGTACAACAAAAAATTATTGCATCTCTTTGTTTTTAGTTTGCAAAAATTCGAATCTTTCAACTTTATAAAGTTTTTTTTTTTCCTTTGCCGACATAGTTAATTTCAGCCTAAAGTACTAAAAACAGAGGTTTAATTATTATTTGTATGATGAAGTGTCATCCTTATATTGTCTTTTTTCTTTCTTTTGCTAATTTCTTTTTGTTCCTTTCTTGTATCCTTACTCTTTTCTTTTATTTCATTTTCATTCTTTTTTTTGGATTGCTCTCCCCGAGTGAGATTCCTTTTCTATATCTTCCATGATCATTTTTAGTATGCCTCATATTTAAGTAGATTTGGCGAGCTGTCATAAATAGAGATTTAAAAAACAATAAACTTAAAAGATAATCTCTTTTTATAGTACAACAAAAAATAATCTCTTACTGTTTCAAAACTCTCATGGTGGCAATTTAAGATTTTAAAAAATCCTAGTATTTCTTAACAACCATCTATCTCATGAGAATATTTGGTTTATGACTCGAGCATTCATGATAATATCCAAAAAAATATTGTTCAAATGTACAATAGCATATGAGATAATATAGTCTTTCAAAATGGTTGACAATTAAAACTTGCAAATATGGGATAATATTTTTAAAAATGACTAAATGCCCTAATATATAGTAGGGTCCATGAGAACTTTTTTCATGTCATGGCTCAGGTTTTCTTGGTAAAAAAATTCTCATGTTTTTAAATATTAATAATTTTCAATAAGAAAAATCTTAGAATTTATTACTCAAACAAGACAGGAGAATCTGACAATTAAATTTTCCCTACCTCAATAAGGATTTAAAGTCATACCTTCTGATCTCCAAGAGATTGAACTTTAAATATGTAATTCTATAATTTGAGGTTAGGATAAGTCCAAAATAATTTGAAATTCATTTTTTTATAACTTATTCAAAATAGAGACAAAATTTTATTATAATTCTTTTATAAGTACTTTCATTATAAAGTTAAAACATGTTTATCAATTATCCATGTTGGTAAAGGTTGTCGAGACCTCCAAAATGATTACTCATTTTACTAGTGTGATCAAGTCAAATTCCAAGAGAACCAATAAAATTAATATCTCGAAGTTTTAATAAAATAGGAATTTTAATATTTAAAAAAACTAAAAGTAAAATCATAGTCAATCCTACCAAACTTGGAAATGGCACCTAATAACTTGATTTCAAACCTATTCAATAGTAGCAATTTGTGCAATTTAGCTCAAATCGCAGTTAGTAAAAGGTGGTGTGACTTCATGTGATGCAGAGTCACATTGGACAAAGGATACACGATTTCTATAAATGGATTTTACGCAACTAATTTTATAAATTTTTTGAATTACATTTATTTTGTTATTATTTCTAAATCCACATTATTTTTGTAATTTATTTTTAAAATTACATTATTCTTAGAATTAACTCCAGTTCCATGTCTTTTCTCTATTTAAGAGCATTTAACCCATGGGATGTTCTATTGGGCCTGGCCGGTCCATACCACATGGCCCAGTATACGGCGACGTTTTGAAATTGTATCGTTCTCAAATTAACAAACCGAGATTTTGCAATTTGGAATTTACAAACCCTATCCGACCCGGGAACTGGAAGGGAAACTTCGCTCCAATAATTTCTAGGGCTCATCGTCTCCAAATTCTCTGATTTTGTGGAACTCTGGTGTCAATTCAGAGCAACTGAGTTGGAGATAGGGAGAGAAATATGCCTCAGAGACACTCGAAGAATAATAACGATCTTGCTTTCTTCACCTATGATGAGAAGCGGAAGCTCGGGTATGGAACGCAGAAAGAGAGGCTGGGGAAGGACTCGATCAAGCCGTTCGATGTCTGCTGTCTCTGCTTGAAACCCTTCATCGACCCCATGTGCTGCCAGAAAGGCCACACGTTTTGTAAAGAATGCATTCTCGAGTGCCTTCTGGCTCAGAAGAAAGATATTCAGAGGTCTGTTCCTTTTGCCGATTTTAATATTTACATTTGATTGCTTGGTCTCTCTATGCCCCCCAAAATTATTTAAAATTATACGAAGAAGTGGAGGGCGAGCGGTTCAGATCCTTATAAACTATTTGGTATTGGTCTGCCAAAGATGTGCAATTCCAATTTCTTTTTGTAGTCGTATAGCGATCGAATTATAATCGTTTTATGACTTTTTTTTCAGTCTGTTAGTTGTTGTTTTATGTTTGACGTTCTATGTTTGTTCGTGTGCTTTTTTAGGAACTTATAAGATTACTTTGGTCTTTAAAAGGTGAAATTTTGATCCTAAATTGTGGTAAATTGACTGCGATCATTGTAAGTAGTAGTTTATAAAGAAATGAGATGTTACTAATTTACGCTCTTGACGTTATGGTGATGCATGAGAGATTGACCAATGTAAAGTTCTATTTTCCATAAGTCACTTCAATTTTGTGATCCTTCCTGCCACTGTAGTTATAGGCTTAAAAAGGTTTGATGTATTGACAAAAGAAGTCTTCAGTTCGATGAAGATTAAAGACCGTGTTGTTAAATGTGTGGGAATTCACATTAATGGTGGGATTTTAGTTTGATAGTCAGCATTGATCTTATGGTTTTTAGTTGATATAAAAATATTAGACTTGCTAAAATAAGAGGATGGTTGGAGCATTTTGAGAAATGTACATTATAAATGCGAGAGAACCAAATAATGGTGCAGTGAGATGTACTTTCCCCCCTCCATTTTCCTTAAGCTTATTTTTTCAGCCAGCCCATTTGGTGCAATGCAGTTTGGTCTTTCTGTTAATCATGTTTGTCATAAATACCCCTCTGTCAATCCTCAGGAGCATGTTTTTCCTACTGTGCAGGAAGCTTGCTGCATATACTGCTCAGCAGAAGCAAGAGAAGGAAGAAGCAGAAGAGAAACTGATGCAGCAGAAAGCTAGAGAGCTCGATGCATTTGATCAGCAAAACCATGGTGCTGTACCACAATACAATGATCGGAACCACAGCCGGGATAAGAACGGTTTCCATGGGGCAAATAGTGTAAAGGTAACTTCTTATGAAGAAGAAGCACTTCGGAACATGAAGGCATTTTGGCTTCCTTCAGCTACACCAGAAGCTCCCGTCAAAGCAGGAGCTCCTTCTAGCAGTACATTCTGTCCAGAAGGCAACGAGAAACTTAAGCTAAAGTCCCTTTTCCCAATACATTTCACAGAGGACACTAGCGAGCAGAAGAAATCAAAATCTTATGATGTTACATATATATGCCCTAGTTGTAAGGTTACTCTAACGAACACAATGTCTCTGGTGGCCCTTAGCACATGTGGTCATGTGTTCTGTAAGAAGTGTGCTGATAAGTTTATGGCTGTGGATAAAGTTTGTCTCGTCTGCAACAAGGGATGTAAGGGAAGGGATTTGGTGAACTTGGAGAAAGGAGGCACAGGGTTTGCTGCCCATGGGGATTCTCTTGAAGCAACGGACTTCAAGCATTTGGGAAGCGGCTCTGGTTTGGGACTGGTGAGGCCTGCCATGAAGACTTAGTCATCTTGGTAGGAAAGTTAGCCACTTGTGCCCTGTTTGCCTAAGCTGCTTCACGACTGTAATTTGCTTCCATAAATCCTTTATTGCTTTTTTTTTTCCTACTTAACTGGTACGTGGTCTTGTAAAATGGCAATTTTACACCTTGTATTTTCTTAAAAAGAAATAGAAGCTGGATTTTTTTTTAATTACGATTTGCCAAAATTTTTGGTCACTGCAGCCCCTGGCATAATATTGTTTTTTCTGTGAACAACGATATTAACGGTCTTTCGTTGGATGTATCTGGATCCATCAGTGCATAGGATCTGAACATTAGGGGACCTAAAAAAAAGAAAGAAGAAGAAGAAACGAGGAATTGTCGTCGCTGTTGCTACAGAAAGGAAAAAAAAAGTGTTTTCTGCAGGAACCCTTATATTGAAAATCCATCAAATGAGCCTGAGAGGACTAACGATGCAGCTGGTGATTATGCCAAGGCTTGCATTGCTGTTTCTACGGAATGTGGGTTCCTGTGATTGATATTTGGACTAAGATGCAGCAAATTCCTGGCTGGTAAAAGGTTTGTTTGAGGTACTTCTGTTATCTTCACGTGCTAGCTTTGATATTTTTACATAAGCAAATGGTTCAAATGATCTGTTGGCATTGTTGCCGTATTATTTGCAAGTTTTGTTGAACTCTGATTATGTACAGATTTTCCTGGAATTTACAAGATATGGAATTATTTCAGGACATTAAATGTACATTTTTGTCACATCATGTGGCCACAGAATTAGGTGTCATAGATTGCTTAATCTTAAGCTGCCCCTTTTTCCTCTCTTTGGCGGACAAGAACATCTAGGCCTGTCAAAGTTTCCATTTCCTTATGAATTTCACTATGTAAGATGTTAAGTATCTTCGGAAAAGCTTTAAAACGTAGCTATTATTCAGCATTATAAAACAATCTAAACATTCGAAGCTTTAACATGGTATCATAATAGGAGATTTTGAGTTCAAATTTGTATAATCTTGTTTCCTTCTTGTTAGGTCTTCTCCAATTCCCAAACCCACAAGTTAAAATATCTATAAACTGTAACCTATTAGTTTAAGCTTTTGGGTTCTAGTTTAATAACTCTCGGTACAACAAACACAGCATCCCACCCCCACCCTCACTCCCTTCTGCCATGGCAAACCCCTGTGCATATATTTACGAGTTACTCGTCTTGTCCTTGCTCTTGACATGGGAATCTGTAATATTTGCATTAGAGAAATCTGTCCCAACAGGGTTGTTTTGGAGGAAGTCGTCCTGAAGCTGAGAGAAGAAGGATCTGAGTCCAGAAACGCTGCCTGCTGATCTCCCACTCAATGATCCTCTCAAAGCTTTTGAAAAATTGTGATACCAACTTCACTGTAGTCAGTCAGATTCAATGACATCTCAAATTTAGATCAGTTGGCTCAAACTGAGCATTTTCTTAAAGAGTGGCTTAATTTCTTATCACAGACCTATAAGATTCAAGAATGAAATTCATCTACAAATTATTTCCATTGTTTAGAAGAATAATTATTACTAATAGGAGTTTTATTTCTCTTTCTAAATGATTTATGCTGCTTTATGAGATTGTGAGCATGCGGGTCTATCATTAGTTAAATAAATGAACTCCTCAATTAGTTATATCATGATACAAGTATAAATTGGATGGACAATTGGTTAGATATTTTTCGGGATCAATTAGATTGCATGTTTTGTTATAGGATACTAATTGCTTAGGCGTGTCCAAAAATTTTGATGATATAAAAATCCAGATTGACTTGATTGGGTTGACTTGATATAATATTTTTAGTATAATTAAAACTAAATTTAAATTTTATTAGTTAAAAAATATTTTTGGAGTAACAGTAATAATTAACATGAGTGGAATCTCTTGAAAGTCGTTAACTATTTTTAAACATGTTTTTAATAAAGATTAACTATTTAATCTAGTAATATTTAGCAAGATTAATATTGTCCCAAAAAATTACTTCAGTTATCTTAGCTTTTGAGTAATGAATATATTTGTTAATGAATGACGCATATATCTTTACCAAATTAAGAAGCCAAAAAAAATTGTGAGAGAGAAAAGCAAAGAAGAAGAAGAATTACATAACATTTACCTATCCCTAACAATATTATTATTATGAAAAATTGAAACATGATCTAGATTAATAAATCTTTAAAATAAAAAAAAATTGTGAGAGAGATCGGGAAAAAAATAAAAAGAATAGAAAGAAACCTCAAATTATGATTGGAATTGAGTGAAAATATATCTTTTTATAGTTCTAAAAAGGATTGCAAAACTTTTGAGATTATACGAACTTTTTAATATTATAATATTCAAATGCAAAATTAGTGTTAATTTGAGTAAGGAATTTGGATGGGTGGAGAAAGAATTAATCCAACGTGAATAAAAAATAAAAATAATAAAAATATTAAGAGAGAGTTAATTTGAATGGGCGGAGAAAGAAATCAAAAGTAAATAAAAAAATAAAAATAATAAAAAGATTAAGAGAGTTTTTTAGAGAGAGGAAATTAATTTAAGAAAAATAGAAACTCCAATGGTAGAGAACACTTGTAAGGGGCAAGTGGCACGGGACTTGGGAGGGAGGGAGAGGAAAGATCGGAAGAAAATTTTACATTTAGACAAAATTACCACCAAAACGATAATAAAAGGGTAAATATATTATATATCCCAACTAATAAAATGTTTACTAAATATTAAAAATATTATAATTTTAAAGTAATTATATGAAAAATATAAAGAATACTTGAAACTCAACAAATATTTCAATGGGTGTGAAATTTGTCCCAGATTTATAAAATGGGGGTGTGCCCACGCTGATTCCAAGAACAACTCAAGTCAATTTTTTGCGAGAGATTCTTCCGATAAATTATATACCATTTCAAGAAGTGACGGCAGGGGATTAAAGGGTTGATTCCGGCCACCATCCTCGCATTCTTCTAATAAGACATACAGGTCTTTTTATGACCTTTTAACTTGTTAATTCATCCATCGTTCACTGTAACTTAATCATGGGGACACATTTTTCTCTTTAAAATTATTCATTCTTTTTTAAGWCATAAACCCGTTCAAATTTGAACCAACTTGAGATGGAACAACTCCCACATAGTTGACCCTTTAATTTGCACGCATAGCGATCTCATACTTCCGTTAAATCTAACCTATTTTTTATCGGTAATTCTAAATTGTAAAACTATAGAACTAAATCGTTACTTTTGAAAATTGAAACAGATGTGTTTTTTAACCAAAAACTAAAAGACAAAAAAAATTTAGAAGATAAAAATGTTAATATTAAAAAAAAAAGTTTTTACATAGAAAAAAGTTTGCCGAGAGGGAATAACTTTAATAAATAGATTTTGAACAAAAAAAAATGTTACTAACTTTTACAAAATTTTTGAGAGACAAAATAGTAAGGAATAACATTAAGAAAAAAAAACCCCCCTTTTTTGAGATAGAAAAAGGTTTATATAATGAAAGAAATTTTGGAGATTAAAAAAAGTTAAAAAAGAGATTAAAAAAGTTGAGAGAGAAAATAAATTAAAATAAGATTCAGAAAACTTTTAAAGAGAGAAAAATATTATAAAATGAAATAAATTTTAAAAATAAAAAAAAATTAAAAGACATTTAAAACGAAAATTTTGAGAGATAAACTTTTGAAAGAGAGAGGAAAACCTATTGTAGAGAAAAAAAAATTTAAAAATAAAAGAGAATATTGAAGATAAAAAGGTTAAAAAGAGATTTATAAAAACATTGTGAGAGAACAAAAAAATAGCATGATACAAAAAACTGTGAAGGGAAAAAAAGTTAATGAGTTTAAAAAAAATTTAGAGAGATGAATTTAAAAAGAAAGATGAAAAAAAATTTATATAGAAAAGCTATAGCATGAGAGAAGTTTTGATGATAAAAAAAAATTAAACAGATTAAAAAAAACTGAGAGGGATAAGAATTTAAAAGGAGATTTGGGAAAGAATTTTAGAGAGAGAGAGATTGAAAATTAAAGAAATTTTAAAGATATAAAAGTTAAAAGAAATTAAAAAAGAAAGTTTGAAAGAGAGAGGATGAAACTTTTATAGAGAAAAAAAAAGTAATAGAATGAAAGAAAAATATTGAAAATGAAGAAGTTAAAAGAGATTTTAAAAAACCTTTTTTGAGACAAAAAAAAAAGTAAAAAAAATAGAGTAAAAACTTTTAAAGAGAAAAGGTTAAAAAGAAAGATGAAAAATCTTTTAGATATAGAAAAAAAAATAATAAGATGAGAGAAAGTATGGAAACAACATAGTTAAAGAGATATAAAAAAAATTGAGGAAGAAACAAAATTAAATGGAGATTGGGAAAAACGTTTGGAGAGAAAAATATTATAAAATGAAAGAAATTTTGGCGATAAAAGAGTTAGAAATTAAGAAAATAAGTTTTGAGGGGGAAAAAAAGCTTGTAAGAGAGAGGGAAAACTTTTGTTAGATAGATTTGGTAGAGAATGAAAGAAAATTTTTGAACTTACAAAAAGTTAAAAAGAGACTAAAAAAACCTTTTGGGAGAGAAAAAAAAAACTTATAAAATGAGAGAAACTTTTTTAAGGAAAAGCAAAAGGTTAAAAAATAATAATAATAAAACACTTTTTATAGAGAAAAATAATGCATAGTATTAGAGAACATTTTTTAACATTAAAAATTTAAAGAGATTTATAAAACAATTTGGAAGAGAAGAAAGTTTTAAAAAAATTTAAAAAGAAAGTAGAAGAATGCTTGAAACGAGAGAGGGAAAAAACTTTTCCAGAAAAAACGTCAGAGATGAAAGAAAAATATTGAAGATAAAAAGATACAAAGAAAAATATTGAGAGAGAAAAAAATTAAAAAGTAAAGTAAAAAACTTTTAGAGAGAAATAATAATAATAAACGATGAGGAAAAAAACTAAATTAAAAAACATTTTAAACAGTTTTGGAAAAAAAAATAGAAAGAAAAAGTTGAAAAAAATGATGAAAAAACTTGCACCCATAGGAAAAAGTTATAACATGAGAAATTTTGAAGATAGCATAATTAAAGAGATTATCAAAGAATTTTAAGAGAGAGATGAAATTAAATGGAGATTGGAAAATCCTTTTAGAGAGAAAAACACCATAAAATAAGAGAACTTCGAAGATTCAAGAAAAGATTCCTAAAATAAGTTTTGCAAAAGGAAAAAAGATTGTGTGGGGAAAAACTTTAATTACATATATTTGGTAGAATGAAAGGAAAATTTTGAAGTTAAAAAAGTTAAAAAGATATACACATAAACATTTTGAGAGAATAAAAAGTACAAATGAGAAAAAAATTAAATAGGAAAAAAAAAAGACAAGTTCAAAAAGAGAGAAACGAAAAAAAAAACTTTTTATAGAGAAAAATAATGTATAGAATGAGAGAAAACTTTTAAATATTAAAAATCTATTTTGGGGAAAAATGTTTTAAAAAATAGAGGAAAAATATTTAAGAGAGAGAGAAAAGTATATCATGAAGGAAAACGTTTGGAAAAAAAAAAGAGATTAACGCAAAAAAATAATAAGAGAGAAAAAAAAAGAATTGAAAACGTTTTAGAGAAAGAAAAACATTATAAAATGAAAAAAATTTGAAAACAAAAATATTAATAGATTAAAAATAAAGTTTTTACAAAGGAAAAAGTTTTCAAGAGAGAGGGAATGGGAAAAAACGTTGAAAAGAAAAAGTTAAAAGAGTTTTTAAAAAAATA